CTTTCTATGAGATGGCTTTCTCATAGAGAAAGCTTTGTGTGCAAATAAAAATTCTGGAGTAAGCAATTTTCAAAATGCACCTTAACTCATAAAGCCTCTTCTATGAGGTTGCCCAAATTTTTAATAATCACTTGCCTTCATGATGACGAAGTAATGTCCAAATTTCCAATTTGCATTTTTACAAGTTAGAATGAGCAATGTCCAAATTTTTAATTTGCACATTAACTCACAAAGCTTCCTCTATGAGGAAGCCAAATTTGAATAGACAACTTACCAAAATGTTAATGTTGCATTTTGCAAATTTCCAATTTGCACCTTATAAATAAAAAACAACTTGCAAAATGTTGATGCTGCGTTTTGCAAATTTAAAATTTGCACCTTTAAAATACAAAACAAAGTCCAGATGTTGAGGAAGCAATGTGCAAATTTCCAATTTGCACCTTTAAAATTAAAAAAAAATGAATAGACAACTTGCCAAAATGCTGATGTTGCATTTTGCAAATTTCCAATTTGCTCCTTTAAAATTAAAAATATCTTGGATATTTAAAAAGTTATTCAGGAATTTCAACCTAAATATACTGTATATGTATGTATAAACTGAACCCTTGCACCGATTATCCTCAAATACAATACCAGCCATCTTTTAATCACACTCAATAAATATGCCAAAGTAGAAGGCGATATCTCAAAAATTGCGGAGGTGAGAGCGCGAACAATTATTGCGCGCGCGCACACACACACACACACAGACATTTTTAAATAAGTGTATTTTTTTGAGGTTTTAAAACATTCTAAACCCATTGGCATTGAAAACTGGAAAAAAATTTTCGGATGAAAACAAAGCTTCCTCTATGAGGAAGCAAAAAGGAATGGAGAGTCGACTAACCTCTGGTTAACAGTTAACCAGAAAATGACGAACTGCGCCTGACTCGCATAAAGTTACTATGAAAGTGCATAGAGAAAACTTACCTTCTGCAGATCCGCTTCGTCCTCCGAAGTAGCGTATCTCATAGCTTCCTCGATAATCAAGTCCTTGATATATTTCAATTTCGTGTCCATCTGCTCGAGTTTATCTTTCTGCTCATTCTCGTCATTTTGCTTCAAATTTTCAGCCATATTCTGTCAATGAGAGATATTTCGGATAAGAAATAATTTTTCTAATTTTATCACCATTTTTATCAAAATTTTACTAATCGCATACCTCGTAGTAGCGCTGCAGCATCCACTCGTCGTCCTGTTTCTGCGTGCCCTGTCCGGCCGTGAAGGTGGCCTTCTTCTTCCTCCGGTCGATGCCGAAGTATTGCGACCAGTCGACGCTCTTCTTCCTCACCTGGATCAGTTTCGACTTGCCCGTCTTCGTGACGTTTTCCTTTTGGCCCTTCGGGGACGGCGTCATTTTCGGCGCCTCCGTCTTGACTTTATAATCGTGCTCGTGCTCGTGACTCTGATTGGATTCGTGCTTGTGATCGTGGTTCTGATCGGGTTCGTGCTTGCGTTCGTGATCGTGATCGTGGTTGTGATCGTGTTCGTGTTCGTGATCGGACTTGTGAGTGTGATTGTGCGAATCCGTGAACTGCGTGCCGAATAGGGCTCCTAGGTCTTGAGCAACCTTAAAACAAAAAATACGCGTCACTCGACGTCGCTACCACGTTCCACGTTGACGTTCGGTTCCTCGAACCGTGTAAAACTTGATAACGTGCTCACTGCGCGCGGTCGAAATGTGAAAGTTCGATAATAGAGCAAACAGCGCCGCGCTGTCGTCTTGTTTGTCGCGTTACCTTAGGATCCGTGGCCTTTAATTTGGTTTGGGTCGGCCTGGGGCTTCTCTTAGCGATCGGATAGCGCTTTGCCAGTTTGCGATAGCTGCCGAACTCGCGGCCGATGGGAAATCGACCGTTCACGTTCCTACGTTCCGCGGGCAAGTACAGGATGCCCTGATCCTGATCGCGATCCACGAACTCCTCGTCGCTGCCGTCCTTCATCTCGCTCCTCAAGGGGCCCTTGCTAAGCAGCTCGCCCCAGGACATTGGTCCTGCCGTTCTATCGAGCGAACATTACACCCTTAAATCTTCCTCTCCCGATATACCCCATTTTCAGGACGAAAATTGTATCACACGAACAAAATGATATATAAATAATCTTTCTTTAAACGCACCGTCAATAAGTGCATTTAAATCAGGTCTAAATCTTATCGAAAGATTACATTACTATATTCATAAAATCAATAAAACTCCAAACTCCTTGCTCTTTGTACATCACAGCTGTGACCTTTAGTGGGTCGAAGGGATCATCGAACTTACTCATATACTTTGTTCCCTCTACCAGCTCTGTATCTGTCGTAAAGTGATTGTAAATCGGTTAAATAGTCATCGTCGTCCACCTCGACGAGCGCACCGTACGGAAAACCGTCCTGCAGCTCCTCCACGAACAACTTCGTCAGATCTTTGTCGTCCCGGTTCAGCCGATCGCTGCCGGCGCCGCCCCGTTTGCGGCTGCCACTTCGCTCGCGCTCGCGAAAGATCGAGGCCACCGGTTCTTCCTGCAAGCAATCATCATCGCGACGTCAGTTTATTGGGAATCTCTATGCCATCTTGCTCGTCGTTTCTGCTCTGCCTTCGATTTTTATACGGTTGAAAGGGACTGATATTACGGTCAGCAAAATATTGAAGCCGCCCCTCTTTTCCGGAGAGAAAACTTTTCCATCATTTTTGCCTCCTCGTAGAAAATGACTTTGTCACGATTTTGTCGAGAAATTTTTATGATTGTTTACGTTATTTAAAATAAATGTGTAATTACGTAATTCAATATAAGGATATTTGGTTATTTATAAGTTATATAATTATAATTTATTATTTCTTATTAATTGCATATATAAAAGTTATAAGCATTTAGAGAGAGAAATCATTAGTCTTTGTCTTTTCGAATCTTCTGTTCATACCGTTTTCCTGTGCCATCGAGAGCAACCGAAATGTTCCCGCTAGTCAAGTTAAGTAAAGCTAAGGTCAAAATACGAAGTCTAGCTTGGTCAAGAAATGAAACATTTGTCTCTGTTGTCATCAATCTTCTTCATTTTATAGTGATCAGGAATTTACCTGTTCAGGTACAGTCTCCAAATAATCGAGCAGCGCCCTTTCGAGTAACTTATTGTTCAAGCCCTGGAGACCCTCTCCCACTGTTTCCAGCTGACCATTATCTGAAACCACGACAAAGATGATTGACCACTAACAGTACGAGGATCCAATACAACGCGAAAGTCTAAAATGACACACAACGATCTAACAGGGAATATCCCCTGGGAAAATTTACTTTAAATAAAATTGAACTTTTTAAAAGTAATCTTTCAGATCTAAGAGTTTACTTAAAGAAGTCAAAAGTTTACTTAGGAAAGATTAGAATCGTTTTGGACACTTCAGGTAATTTTTAGACAGCCAAGCCTGCCGAAGTTCCCGCTAGGGTGTATATATCAGGAAGGTTAACTCTTCTTCCCTTGGAGTCTGAAAACAGGGAAAAACCTTACCGCTAGGCAGGAACTCGATCTCCTCGTCGTCCTCGTCGAAGTCGCGATCGAACTTGCGATCGGTGTCGCCGCCGTGATACTTGAACGAGTGCAGGTCGTTGTAATACTCCGGCGAGTCCGCCGCGTCCAGGGACCTCTGCTTCCGCACGGCGTTATTGCTCCTGGGGAGCTCGTCATGGAATTGCCGGGCCGCGGGAACCAGCGCGACCGCGCCGGTTCCCAGGATCAGCAGCGGTAGCATCCACCGTGGCGATGCCATTTGTGCTCAAACTAATTGGCAGAAACGTAGTTGCGTGTACAATACCGCGCGAAGAGACAAGCTGGAAAAGTAATTGAAAACCTACAAGGGCAATAAATTCATGACAAAGTCAACAGACGATGCCTATTAATTTAGCGGAAACTCCGCTATCTCATATTAGGTGCCTATCTCGTAATAAGGAACTTCGTCTAATAATAATAATAAACGAAACATTATAATTCGGCCATGAAGAGATTAAACCGGTTTGGAAAAGTAAGATCTTTAATTCAGTTCCGTTTGACACCTGGGCCGGCAAACGTGTACTGTATTGCACATCGTAATAAAAATATATAGATATATTGACCACGTCTATTTTGCATACTGTGTACCGAGCTAAATATCGATTTTGTTAACAGGGTAATGAAGTCCTTCGCACGAACGGAGACGTGTTGAAGAAATCTGCGACGTAACGTCAAGACAAGGCGAGATCGGCGCGGCGGCCCTTCGTAAATCCAATACGATATTCATGGAAAAACTCATTGAACTTAATATTAAAACTCGTTGAATTTAAAATGAAACTAGAAGAGTATTAAATAGAAAGACAGAGTTATTTAAAACAACATACCGCGAAGACGGACAGATGTCATAAAGTGGAAACAGTTTTCTCTTCATTTTCTAATTAAAAGCCTTTTTTATCTCTTAATTAAGAAGACTAAAGTTAAGTGGGGAAAGCACTGTGATGGAGTAATAAAGAGGGCACTAATTGAACACAAATTACATTGCGCAGCGAACGTTTCTTTCCCTTCGGAATCGATAAACGTAAATAATTGCAGTTGTGCGAATCACAGCGTTAAAAATTTCTCGAATCTGCGAACGATTTGTAGATCCTCTGGTTTCGGACTCGAGTCGCCGGAACGTCGACGGAACTGGCGTCGCGCTTTAGATAAGCCGAGAGGGGCCAGCTACACGAAAGCGGGCTCGAGTTACCAGATGGTACCCGCGTTCAGCGCGAAACCCCGTCGAATTTCGCGTGCTTATCGGAGCCGCGCGTGCCCGTCCGCGTGTATTTCGCAATCGGCGAACGGCAACCTGTCGTTGCCGCCGCGTCATGACAAATTTCGGCGGACTCTCTAGAGAACGGGGTCGGCGGGGTTGGGAGATCGCGGAGTCGGCCGGACCGCGGAGTCGACGGGATCGATTCGCACACGCGGGGGCTATACGTGTCGCACAGTTGGGACTTACAATTTTTTTTAAATGTGAACAGCTTATATCGCTATAATTCGACGCTTGACGGACTGTCGTGACGTACGTCGAGGAAGGGTCGGCAGATCGTACCGGGATTGACAACGTAGACGGTCGGGACGTGATCGACGACGGTGGGAAACTTAATTAACGGAGCTTAATGGATTAATACGACGTGACACGGTGGAGTGCCTCGCGTATGGGACGTACCTGATTAAATTTAATCTCTCATCCGCGCGACAGTCCCCGGGATAAACGGGTTTAGCGTTCAGCGTTCCCCGTTCTCTCCTTACTTCTTTTCTACCTCAGTACGTCGTAACGTCGTCGGCTGACGGTGACCCGGGGGTGTGCGTGGAATCCCGACCTGCTCTCTCACGACCAGGAGGACCGCCAATGGCGTCGGCTTTTATATAGGCCGACGGAGGGCGAATCGATAGAACCGCGCATGGAATTCGTCGCTGCCTGCGAGCGGCGGCGGCGGCGGCGGCGGCAGCAACAGCATCATCAGCAGCAGCAACAAGTAAAGGGGCGCAGGGGGTAAGAGAAAACACACCGACCGGAAAATCCTACGGTCCTCCCTTCCCCCCCCCCCCGTCCTCGTCTCGCGGGTCCTCCCGAACTGGACGACCCGCGACGAACGTTTGCCGACCTTTCGGGGGCGCGAAACGCCACCCTCGGTAAAGGGACCGGATCAGGTATATTCGATTGATTTTCGCTACCGGGGCGGTCCCGTCCGCCGCGGGATAAATTGCGAAAACAGGACCTGGTTGATCGAGCGTCGCGTCGCGTTCGACATTTAAACAACTGTTTCATTAATTTGTCTCTCTAGCGCTGTTTTCCATGTCTCGAGGACCGCGCGGGTGATTGAGATCGCCGATTAGAGGGGATTATGGGAGAACGATCGACCCACGATCTCGCGAGTAGATACCGAGGGGATCAATCGGCGCGGGTCGCCCCGACCTGATGAAAGTCAAGTCTATCTGCTTTTTTTTTTCACGTGCAAGCGCAGCGTGCTTCGATGTCCGCGTATTCGTATATGATGTTTTCGCAAGCATTTTTACGCATCTCCGCAAATGTATTTTTGCGGAACGAATGCTTTGTATCGCGTGAAATTCGGGGATTTGAACGCGAATGGTGACTCGTGTTGCAAAATTAATTGTGACACAGAGAGAAAGAGAGAGAGAATGTGTGTGTGTGTGTGTGTGTGTGTGTGTGTGTGTGTGTGTGTGTGTGTGTACTCGTTAATTAATTTACCAGTCGGGAAAGGTCGGGCAAGCGAGGAAAGGCGTTTTCGGAATTTCACTCAGGAAGTATTGATCATCGCGGAATTGCCCGATCGTCGGAATGCGGTGTCTGCCGGTGCATAATTCCTCGACAGCGTGGGAACTTTTCATTCGCGAGAGTAATACGAGGATCACCCGCTTTCGCAATTGCAATACAGTTACGATACGCAATTGAACTCGCGAATATAATACACACACTTAAAAAAAAAACAAAAGAATATCCTATAACGAAACTAATGGGAGAATTTTCAAACGTATTTTTGTGTTATTATCAGGAACGTGTGTCGATTAACGTAACAAGATTCATCATGACTATGCAATTATGCCGGTTATGCAGCAATTATGTTAATCCGCGCGTTGTGACACGTGCGTACACTGCAAAAACAAATGTGTTAAAACAACATGCTTTAAAGCATGTTGTTTTAACACATTTGTTTTTGCAGTGTATACAGTAGATGAGGCGTCCGATAAATCGCGATATAATCGACGCGAGGATGAATCTCTGCGTGAGAAAAATAGTTATTTTTTAATTGCAATTTCTGGAATTTTCTATCGCAACATTTTCTTCGAAAAAGTAAAAATAAAATGTATTTTATCTGATTCTTCAAAGAGAAGAATCCACTGTTCTGCTCGTTGTTTCACTGGATGATTTGCATCTTATACGAACGCGAGTGTATAAATGCGTCCTAGTGTTTTTTTCACCAATTAAGTTTTGCTTGGTTTTCTCTCTCGCAAACGCGCTATTAAAACATCTGTATTTCTTCACGCAATGAAGAAGTTACTAATTGCAGCATTGCTTGAACAGATTTTGCTAGTCGCAAGTTATTTTGAAACTAGTTATTTGAAACTTAACTTGCGTACTTTGGCTTGTTGTTTGCAGTCTATTTCTGAAGTATCCTTAGCTATACGGTCAAATACAGTATAATCTCGCTAATCCGGCTCCTATCTACTCTCACGACCTTCCGCGGCTCCCTCCACGGCGTTTACAATATTTGAAGACGTCAGAAATTGACCAATCACAGTCGAATGATATGAGGCGAATAATCTACTTTGGTCATTTTCTTGCAAAGAGACAAACCTCTATTAAATGTGAAACTATCTTTCGAAACAATAAATTGTCTCGTACCAAATATTAATACATTATAATTACATAATATAAGTTTAATTATTTATTATATATTATATACTATATTTTATTTATATCTCTTATATTCCATACACGATCCAGCTATCCGGCAAATCTATTAATCCGATATTGTCTGACTTTTAATTGGCCGGATTAATGAGATCGTACTGCAGTTTTCTAGCAGAACTTCATTTTCCCTGTTATCTCTGTTTTCATTGTCAAGCTATCTTGGTGAAAACGCTCATCGTGCTCGCTTACATTTTATTTCTTATATTGCAAGTGTTATCGATACTTTTAATTAACGTATCACGAAAACCGATTTTTTTCTTCCCCAGTCATTCCCTTACGTGTCTTTCCATTCAGGTAATCTCGATCACTCATAATCTTATTATTTCGCAACTTATTAATTAATGCAATTGGTCGAGTATTACTTCGCCTGCGTTATTCTTCACTTGTCGTTTTCGTTTCAGCGGATATAATTGCATTGGCCAACGAGGAAAATGTATATTTTGCATCAAAACAGTCAATTCTTATTAACTTCGGCGCCGATAACAAATACGGCGATATTTAGTTAACAAATTCAATTTCTGTCGACATATTCATTATCAGCGCCGAAACTAATAAGAATTGACTGTTTTGGTGCAGACTATACATTTTCATTGTCGCTGCTGACCGACGTAATTGTGTCCGCTGAAAACAAAATGGCAAATGAAGAATAGCGCTGACAAAATAACACTTGATCAATTGTTGACTAAAAAATTACAAAAGATGTGATAACTTGCGATCAATGTTATAACGAATAAAACGGCGCGAGTGACGCGAGGAAAGCTGGAGAAAACAAATCGCTTTCTGCATTTCTCACGCATTCGTCATTGGCAGACCTTCGCGTTTAGGTCAGCGCTTTTGTCACAGACGTTATCGATAACTACGCGTAGATAGCGCTTATCCGCAAAGATAAATGATAAATTCATCGGACGATAACGAGGCGGATAGAAATTGAAGTGCGAACGTTCAGACAGTCTTCGACCGGTGGTTAGCGCGGGTTCGCCAACCGCCCCTCGGGTCGGATTGCCTTATTTTACTGAGCAAGTGTCGAGGATAGAAGTAGGTGGAGACATCGATCGAGTCTCTCTTTCTATCTCGAGTCCCTCTCTCTCTCGCTCTACGCGTGATCGACCCTTATCTCCTGCCTGTCGGAGACGCGAACGAGGTCTTCATCCAGCGATTATGCGGTACACGGAAGCGGAACCGATGGCGGAGCAAAGTTACGCGCAGCAGCTCAACATGTCGGCGAACAACGGCGAGCAACAACCGCAGGCGACTGGTATCAGGCAGAGATATCGCGTTTTATCGCGCGGAAAACTTCTCTTTCTTTCGCGCGCGCGCGATTCTTATTCAGGGACAATTGTGAAACATTCGAAATGAAAATCTCCTTTCTGCTTTTCGGGTCCACCAGCGGTGTCGAGCGCGACGACGCAGACGATGGAGCTGCAGGAGAACGCGCCGGTCGTTTACGCGAACACCACTATCATCACGATGCAACCGACAGGTGAATAGGCTATTTCCCGCGAATGACAAAACGACGTCGAAGTGGTCGAAAAACGGAATGATCTCAATAAAACTTACATTTGTCCCTTTTTCCCGTGTCGCATTTACGGCCATTTAAAAATGGGAAGTGGAGCTACGAGAGTTTTAACGAGGTTTGGAAAGCAAAATGGGTCCAGACAGAGAGAACGGCGCGCAATGTGGGATATAATTTTTTTTTTGCGTGGTACAATTAGTCAAAGCGAAGACAACTTTACTAGAAACTTCTTCGGTTTAAGTTTCGGGCTGAAAATTTAGTTTGTCATGAAAATGATTTCTAATCCGCGAAACATATTTGTTCCGATTATATTCTTTACGACCGTCGCCGAGCAAACGCATCTGCGTAATTTTCCTCTATTTTTACGTCACATTTTTCGTATACTTTGCTCGAAAATCGCGACGGTTAAAAACAAATAAGAATAGAATTAAGGTCTAATCGTATATATGTATATGATTATACATATATAGTATAGTTATTAAATTGATACATAATATATGTAATCAAATTTAATGTGTAAAATGTTCAATACGATGTATAAACATATTAAATATTTAGAACATATACATCAAATTTATTTATACATATATTATACATATACGTACACATATCAACCCTATAGTGGTTATTTTAAATAATCATATGCCCAATAAGAATAATTATGCATCCTCTAACTGTGGATTATGTAACGCGATGAAATCGATAACGAGTGCCTGTGCACTCAAGAAGATGTGTGGTAGCTTTCGATTGTTCGCACAAATTGTCGCGTCGCATTTGCAGAAGACGGAAATCGATTCCCTCGTAGGCCAATTCCCATCAACACCGTTGACTGGATCTCGACGCCCAGGGCGCAGTTCAGCGCCATGTCCGGCACACAGTTCCTGGAAGGCGTCGAACAGTTGGAAATTCATCAGGTTATTGATTTGACTACTCGTACGTATTTAGCGCAGCATGCGCTACTTTTTCACTCTAAAAACAATAGAAAGGAGGAAGAAATATTTAATATATTTAAATAAATAAATATATAATTTAATTAAATAAAAAATATTTAATATAAATACATATGTATTTATTCAATGGTGTTTAAATGTATGTATATGTGTGTGGAACAGTTATATATTTAAATATTTAAATAATTATGTGTACGATATTAATAAATAATTATTAATCGTTGACAGGAATAATTAGGTCCTTATTAGTATTAAATTTCATTTACATATTATACAGACTACAGAAAAGTTTAGTTCTATTTTAAATTTTATAAATATTAATGACTTAATGCAGTAGAGAATAATTATAGTAAAATTCCAAATTTCACTCGACCACAACTGGCCACATTTGTTAATTTCTCTGTCAATGCAGAAAACTTATTGCGAGAAATATTATCATATGCCTCGGTGGTCGAATTATTGAGACGCCCGCCTAGAGTGTAGGGGAGGTCCAGGTTCAAACCCCGGGCTGAGGTAATATTTCTCGCAATAAATGTTCTGCATTGACAGCGAAATTGACAGACGTGGCCAGCTGTGGTCGAACAAAATTTGGGATTTTAGTATTGTACTGGCAATTTGAAGGGACTAATATTTAATAATTATATTATAAAATATGAAATATTCGTGTACGCGATTTTTATACGAAATACTCGGCAGTACTCGGCAGAACGGAGAAGGGTATTCAGTACAGGGTGAAAGTGCCGCGCGCGGAAACGCTGTTTCTCGCCATGGAATCTAAGATGGAAACGCAATCGCGAATGTACGGCTGGTACAAGGGATTCGTGCTGAATGTGCTGGATCAATGTGGCGAAACTGCTTTCGTCATGCGGAAGGATCCCAGCTGGATGCACGTGCCGTGCTCACGACAGGCGAGTCTCGACACGACAAACTGTACTATAAAATAGATATTACATTCCCGTAATTACGCCGGATTTAGCACGATTGTAGAAGGTTTATTGACACCTAAATTGTCGACGTGTCACAGAATCCCCCAGAATCTTCTTTGTCGCACCGATTAAAGACATTTCACCTGATTTAAACGGACAGTACGCTTGGCCTAAGAATTATTTCGGAGCTTTCAATTCTTCTCGCCGCGCCTTGAAAAAGATAACAATGCAGGCGTTCGTTGTTCCTGCAGTCAGTTGACGTTTCACAAAGAATGATATCGGCGCGATAAATTGAACTCAATACTCAATTAAATTATTAACTCTTGCTGTTTCATTTGAGTCTATATGACCCATTTTTCTTATTAAAACGGAGTAATTCTCTCTAGTAATAACTCCTATAACTTATAAACTATGTTTGACGATCATATTATATATCCATTTGTGCAATAAAAAGGGATATTTTTGGCAGCAAAGAAAAGAATCAATTACATTTTAATTTGACAATAATATTTCAATTCATGGCGAGAGAGCAATGGTCTCATTTGTCTCGATAATTGATCATTAAAAACATCTGTAAACAAAGAAAAAATATATCTATAAACAAAATCGTATTCAGACGCATGAGAATGCATTTAAACTGAAAAAAAAAACACGTTTAAACGCGAGCGGAACAGGCTAATCTTCGACATGCCAGATCTTAAAACAAAATGTACAGACGTGTTCATCTCCCCGTTTGATCCTTTCATTTGTCATGTTTCCGCAGAAAATTACAGTGGAAAGCGCGAGTCTCATCGGCAGCGTAGAGGAAAACTTTAGCTTGGTGGGACCGAGCTTCACCGTGTACAACGGAATGAACGAGCCACTCTGCAACATATACGGGCCCAACGTTTGCGGCTGTTGCATGTACAAGGAAGCGCAGTTCCAGGTGAAAACAAATCATCCGCACGGGAGAACGTCTCGTTACACGTATATGTGGAATCGGCTAGACTTATCACGAATAGCGTAAAACGTGACGCGTCTGAAAGTGCAAATTATAAAATATTTAAAAAATCTGAAACAAACTGTGTTAACAGCACGTTTTAAACTGGTAAGATTAAGATATACAAGCAATCGACCAGCAAATGCGTGCAACTGTATCGTTATCCTTATTTGGTTGTTAACTGTTTGTATTTCTTAGTCTCATCAGTTTTATACGTACTGTCCACACGCACAGCTTATTTCACAATAGAAATATCATACTAGTATTGATATGCATAGAATGAGCAATTTTTTATTATACGTATACGATTATATTAAAATTTTACGCTTCTATTTAGTTTTCACTTAACGACATTAATTTATATAATTTTATTATATTTAATATTTTATTTGTTATATACGCAAGTTTACTGTTTTTCTTCTTTTTTTTTTAGATCATATCGTTGGATGGATCGCGCCAAATCGCAACGCTGATGCATCAATGGGATCACTTGGTGGTTGATTACATCCTGCTGCTTACATTCCCGATAGACACAGACGTGAGATTGAAGAGTCTGCTTCTCGGTGCATCATTCTTGATAGTGAGCTATCGATTTTAAACTTTACAATCAATCTCTAATTTCCTTTGATTTCTCTCAACGAAGCGGTTCAAACCGAATTCATACGAGAAAATCGCGTACATATAAATTTACAAATAAATACATTTATTTATGACACAATTATATTTCTGTATTCCAGGAATATCTGTATTTTCAACGAATAAGAAGAGAGTCCAGGAGATAGACATTAATTATAAATAATTTGTAACTTTTAAAATTATTGCCTATCCCAATTTGCTCTGTCTGTAATGGAGCAAGCGCGAAAATTATAATTTTTACAAAACTTTTTAAGAAATTTCACGTAATTGCCTTACATAGGTTTATATAAATTTATATGAAGTATACTTTTTTAAGTAAATGATATAACGGCTCATACAGATGTATAGTGTTTAAGATTTTTTCCGTAAAACTGCGCCATTATGTTCCGCGAGTAGAAATAAGAAAACAATGTGATATAAGCACAGACTTACAAACACTTTATTAAAAAGTTAAAACAAAAATATACTAAATTGGTAACGGACTTGTTCCGATTACAATTCAACTTATGTATAAATTTATATATAAACACATCTCTCTTAAGGAATAGAATACAAAGTTAATACCAAATGTATGAATTATATATATATATATATATTAAATGTAATTTGTATTAAATTTATTTTAAGTTTATAAACGTACTTTTTACCATACCGCACTTTTAAAATCAGCGTGACTTTAGCAACATTTCTAATACTCTGTATAAAAGATACAACATATTGTTTTAAAGTATCTCTCGGAATAATATTAACGACTGCTTGTTATACTAAATATCTCTGAAACTGGAAGCAATATCGTATGATAAATTACATGTATTGAGTGTATAGATACGTGTGTCGCGGTTGCATCCCGTTAATTGAGCATAAGTTTTCCAAAATAACTCAGTTGACGTTCGATTTCGGAGAAGCGTAGATCTATTTTTTGTTTAACAATAATTACTAGCAAATAAGGCTGAGAAAGACTGAGAATCCGAGGCTTTATCTAAAACAAATTATTTTGATAACTGTCAGCACTGAACAATAATGAAGTATCATTAGTATTAGAATATGTAATAAAATATAATTTCGTTAAGTGGATTTACAAGGGAACCGCAAGACCCCCTCACCGATCTTAATGAACTTAATGAATAAGGGTTCTTTCGGAATTCGCAGGAAAATTTTCAGGGTCGCCGGCAAATATTAAATTGTTTCTTTCGAAATGTCATATCCAAGTATGAAACCTCACGTACGCTTTCCCATCGGAAACTTTTTGTTCCAAAGTTACACGCAGAAGATTTTTGGCCAAAATACCATCGAATATTAGACTGTGTTACTGGAGGTACATTTTCCGCGTACAACTTTGGAACAAAAAGTTTCCTAGGGGAAAGCCTGCGTGGGGTTTCATACATGGATATGACCTTTTGAAAGAATCCTTATCCTATATCGCTTATACTTAGTCGCTTATACTTGGCGCGAGACACTACCGTGTCTCGTGATAAATCAGCAAATAAGGGTACAACGCGCGTTCTTAACATCATTATCCGACCTAACCCGTCGACGATTACACGCGTGAGATTTCTGCACACACAGAGCTATTAATTATAAAAATCGCCTTCAGCACCTGATAATCATGTTCCAATGCCGTTGTGTGTTTGCTGATATAGCATAACGGCAAACCGTGCTTGATTTTTTGCCTGTATTTGCCATTAGTACTTAACGTATCAGACCACGTGACGAGTTTTTGCCTCATTTTTACTGTCGTCACGTGGCAGTGCATCATGTTCGATTTCTGCTGTCTGATGTCAACCTTCGATATGGCATTTTGCTCGATGTTTGCTACGTATTTGCTACATATCACGATACGCAATTGTTGATAAATAACTCGTTACTTTCCAAGTGGAACAATACTTTGTGACGCAAATCCTGCCCGAATTTCGCTGTAGTTTTGCTAATGCTGCGCGAGACATCAAACCATGCGTAATAATTACCTGATTTTTTGCGAATTTAGTAAAAAGCACAATTTGCTCTCGGCACGTTTGGCTATCTGGGTAAATGAAGGCGTGATGATTCTATTATAGATTTCATTGTGATTACACATAATTTCTAACAATAACGCGGAAATTCAAAATGATTGTTGGTGATGATTGTTCCATGTAATTTCGTCTGACTTTATGATTACACGAAAATTTCGGAAGGATCTTATAATAATTCTAGAGTTTGTTTCCCCCTTGGCAGGCAACAAATGCTGAATTTGAACTATTTTCTCAACTTGCTCTTTTTTTCTGAAAAATGTCTTATGGCTTGTTTTAGTAAATGTACAAATATGTGTCATAGTTTATTATACCAACAAGCACGTCCCTGGCGAAAATGACAAGCTTTATAAAGCGTTGATAACTGTTAAATGAAGGTTTTTTAAAAGTTCATACGCTTTCAAACTTTATGAGAATGCTTTCACAACGCCGTTGTGTTTTAAACGCTTTCAGAACGCTTATAAAATACTGTGTATAACGTTTCATAAAAGTTCTACAACGCTAAGTTTAAAAATGCTATATACAAACGTCTTCTAAACGCCGCAGCGTTGCAATTTCCGCTCTACAAATTCTCTATCGACTGTTTCTAAACTCTCAACGAACTCCTGCAAACGCTATATACAAGCACTTATGAAACGTTTTATTTTCGCCAGGGGTATCATTCTTTCCCAAATAAGGCTGAAGGAGTTGCTGTTGGAGCAACAGTGAGTTGAAAGGTTGATACCCCTGTCGTTATACGCTTTTCGAGTTTGCGCATCGTCGCGTCTCTCCCTCTCCTCCCACCTATCCTCTATATCGACCACCGTTTTCAAGAGCTTCCCAATGAACGCGGTCTCGCTCTTCGGAGTTGTTCGAGCGTTTTCGGGCAAGTAGGAGTAGCGCAGAGGAACGAGATACACGTGTTGGTGCAAACCGACGGTACTCCGTAAATCATATACGATCTCGCAGGAATCTCGCAGGAATCTCGTTTTCTGTATGTATACATCTATTTTTTTCTCGCTCCCCCCTTCCCTTTTTTTCTGGCGCACGCGTACCCGTCGTCTGATATCGAAGGCGCGCACGAAAATTTTTCTCTCCGTCGTGCGTTGAACTCTGGTCTCGACCGTGCCGACGGTGCCGACCGAGATTTAACCAGTGTGCCCACTCTCTGTCGGCTCTTTGACCTTTCCGGTTTCGATCACGAGGTGTTCCGCCATTACTGGCCATTATCACACTACCACATATATCCAAGCCGAACAAAAATTCACAATAATATCAAAACGATATCAAAATAACCTCCAAAGTATTACATACCTTACTGATTTCGCGATAATCGCTTTACTTATTATACATAATATTCTTGTCACGATAGTATAATTTAGAGATTAAACGAACTTACCAAGTGAAATTTAATCATAATTATGCCGGGGGTCTCGTCCGGATGAATAATAATAATAATAATAACTATTCCAAACGGCACCTCGAAATTTCAAAATCATAATTACATCAATTTTCTGTTACGATTAAAATATGACTTTTGATAATCATTATATATGGTGTCATTTTAATATTGTGATTTTTCGTTCTGCTTGGGTTGTGCCATTTGCTGGATAGCTCCTACAATCGGTTAATGTATTTTATTAATTCTTTATTATTTCATAAAAATGTCTCTTTCTCTGTCTTTACCACAACTCATGTGTCATTTATCGCATTAATGTACAAGTTTAATAAAGTGCTTTATGTGATGAGGTTTAATAAAAAAAAATCGACGTAAAATTGAATATATAATTACACGAGTCTCTACACTGAAAAAAATTTCTGGTTGAATATGGACGAATCAGATAATTCCTTTAGGATTTACCAGAATTCCTTTAGGATTTACCAGAATTTCTGTAGGATTACAGGAATTCTGGTAAATCCTAAAGGAATTATCTGATTCGTCCATATTCAACCAGAAATTTTTTTCAGTGTAGAAGCACCCACGTTGCCTGTGTGCACGAGTCTGTCGTGGTAGTCACATGATTATTTACGCACGTATTGTATTAGAAAGGCTCGCGTTACTGTGCGTGCGCGAGAATTCTCACAGTCTGGGATTACTGTGCCCGAGCAGAAGACGCAGAGGAGAGCACAAAAAGAAGCGTTTCTTCACCCGGCGCTCCAAAGACACGAAACGTTCGTTTGCAAACAAAAAGAAAGGAATATCGAGAGAGATACTTCGTGTTAAAGTGAAAGACAACTTTTTGAATCTTAAAACATATCAGAGCAGACATAAATAGGATTCAGTCTGATTATTTCAATGCGCAAATTGTACAATTCTTGGTTGGTTTGTAATGCAAATTTTATTTTTGTCAGTAAATCTATTTCTTCCTGCATCTTTGCTATTTAGAACAAAAAAAATTGTTTTGTCGAATGAACTAGAGAAAAATAAAGTAAAAGCTAAATATAAAAATTAAATGGAAAGACTTCGAAAGCTGTAATAATTTTAAAAGAATTCACTTTCTCTCCCTAAATTAATCTAATTAACAGTAGAGGAGTATACTTGAAGTCACCAGTGATAAATAAGTAAGAACAGAGCTTTTTGTTGATCCAACTGGCAATATATTTGATTAAAAATTACATAAGATACGACGTTTCGACCACTTGATAAGGACCTGATACCTAAGTCGAAACGTCGTATCTTATGTAATTTTTAATCAAATAATCTAATTAAACCTCAAATTAAATTTCGATCATTGCATAAAAATTACATAGGTATTTTTATGTATAATTTATATGTACGAGGGTGAGTCAAAAATTATCTGCGCTTTTCGTTCTACAATTTATTTACACAAAAATAGGGGTTCAATGTATACATCATTTTTCAACATAGTCTCCTCCCTTGGCAATACACTTGGTCCAGCGGTCCACAAGCTTGCGTATTCCTTCCAAGAAGAAGGTTTTCGATTGGTCGCAAAGCCACTTTTGCACCGCTTCCTGCACGTCTACGTCTGTAGAAAATTGGCGACCTCGCAAAGCATCCTTGAGCGGCCCAAACAGATGAAAATCGGAGGGAGCAAGATCTGGGCTGCAGGAAGCGGTGCAAAAGTGGCTTTGCGACCAACCGAAAATCTTCTTCTCGGAAGGAATACGCAAGCTTGTGGACGGCTAGACCAAGTGCATTCCCAAGGGAGGAGACTATGTTGAAAAATGGTGTACACATTGAACCCCTATTTTTGTGTAAATAAATTGTAGAGCGAAAAGTGCAGATAATTTTTGACTCACCCTCGTATAACTTACATAAATAGTGGGAATTATGTTCATAAAGCGCAAACAAATACATATGCAAAATTAGGTAAATTTATTTGCAGAAGTCATTTTGGACGCGAAATACGAAACTAATTATGGATCTATTCATAATCATCAGCCTTCTGTTTGTAATCTATTATGCAGTCTACCTTATACTTCCTTCTTTCTTGGACTGTGATATACTGCTCGCTTTTAAGGAAAAGTACGGCCAACCCATATGTAAGTGTACATTTATTTGCATCCGCTTACAAATTAACGATGAACTTTTTTCTGGTCGACGTTTCGTTTCGACGTACAAGTATAAATTCAAGCAAATTCTATTTATCTCTAACAGAATACGTAGTATTTAATAATCTCTAACAGAATAGAATGTAGAGTCTATGCATATATAAATATAGAATCTATATGCATATGTAAAATGTACAGGAATAGAATACACATCAATATTTATACAACATCTCTAACAGAATATATAGGTTCAAATAAATAATGTTATGGAGCATTCTCTCTCTTCAGTAAAAGTAACTAAACATGAAAGTAATATTCAACAGTGTTATCTCTATGTATAAAAAGAATCGTAAAAATGCACAACATGCTATGCAAATAGTTTAATCAGGTGATAGTTTCGCATTTGCTTATCTACTGATAAATTTTGTGTCACCAGGCTAAGGAGAATCTTCTTCTATTGTTATTCAATGATAAAACTATAAATAATAAAAACGTATAATGAACCCCAAATAATTTAATAACTAATAATGTAATAAAGATTATGTACAGGGTTAATATTAATGGTGCACCAACCTTTTACCATAGAAGATCCACTAATATTCACCCTGTACAAGTCATATACATACATTATTTGTATAATTATACATATAATTTGCTGTATGTTTTTCATCACCAGTAGAAGGTTCTTCCGAAATCGCAAATTATAAACCGTTCGAATTCATCGAGTGAATAAAACGAACGAATAAACGAATTAATTTCGCTCATGTTGCATGTACACAGCCTCGTTAAAAGGCAAAACAGTATGGATAACGGGTGCGTCCGCTGGTATTGGGGAAAATCTAGCTTACGTGCTGGCCAAAGCAAACTGCAAATTAATCCTGTCCGCTCGGAGAGCCGTTGCATTAGAACGGGTGAAGACAACTTGCTTGGAAGGTACGATGTTCTTCGTAAACTTTTAGTAAAAAAAAAAAAACACTCCGCGTTACATCGCTTCTTGTCGATTATTTTTATTCAAGCGGTAACCCTCGACGACCCGAAAAATGTGCGGAGTCAACTTGCTATTGTTGCAAGCGGTATTCTGCCACAAAAGAATTGAAGTTAGATTGAAGAATAAATATTGTAGACTACCATTAACGAGTTTTCATAAATGTTCCTCCTCCAGTGAACAAATGTTTGACCGACGACGATGTGGAAGTCTACCCAATGGACGTACTCGACTTTAACTCGCACGAGAAGGCTTTTCAGCACGTGGTCAACAAATTCGGAAAGGTACATTCCAGTATCCTACATTTTTTAAATCCATAAAATTCGATAAGAATCCATACTTAATTAAAATCCCATTGTATACCTTCCATTGCGGACCTCTCTGTATATTCCTCGCTTTTATTATAATTTGTTACTGGTATATCCCAATCGGAAGGCGGTCACATGCCTTTCTACGTTTCAGCTGGACATACTCGTTAACAATGCCGGCCGCAGTCAGAGAGCGAAATGGGAGAACATCGAGATGGCGGTTGATAAAGAAATGTTCGACCTGAATGTATTTTCCATCTTATCCTTAAGTAGATTGGCAGTCAAACATTTTCTAAAAACTGACGGGGGTCAAATTGTTAATACCTCGAGTCTCGCAGGAATTTTGCCGGTACCGATGTCGGCGTCCTACTGCGGCAGCAAACACGCCTTGCATGTAAACATCTTCAAAGCGTACAATCTCTCCTTTTGTCGAATACAATCATTCATAACTTCCTCTCGCATGTGTGATGTTGTATTTTCGCAGGGTTACTTCAAGCCGTTTTTCTTGGAATACCCCGATAAGCATATCAACGTGACGATGGTCTGCCCGGGCCCAATACAAACTGATTTTCTAGCAGAGTGTTTTACGGAGAAGTCCGGCGAGGTACGTGCCGTAAAAATCCTAGTTTGCAAATTCAAGAAATTTCTCGTACAAGTGTATGTCGCAATTGTTGACTGTACATGTGACTTTCAAGAAATATGGCGTAACAACGGATACGTCTAAAAGTAAAGTTAGCGTAGAACGTTGTGCAACCTTAATGGGTGTCGCAATTGCGAATAAACTGGACGAAGTATGGATCGCCACAACGACCTCGTTACGACTCGCATACCTGGCTTATTGTTTTCCAAATGTCATCAAATGGTATGTCTTCTAACGTAAAATTTCCTATGTACATTACACAGATCAAAAGATTCGTTTAGCCTTTCTTTCCTGAAACTCTGGGATCTTATAATTTATCAACCGCGATAGAAATTCGGGACAGAATTGTTTGTCGTCTTATGGAAAGTACAGGAATTAGAATATATACCAGTATGTATTTGACACGTAAAATTAGATTTTGTTAAAAATTGTCTCTAAAGTGGGCTTTCGACGCGCAATAATAAAATCGAAAAGAAGAACGAATCTTTTGCTAAATCTTGATATTACCACGTTACTCAAATCTTTTTTTCTTACAAAGGGTGGTAAAGACTTTAGGTATGAAACACCTGCAGAAAATGCGAGATGCTAACGCTGCTGGCAAGATAAATTAATCACGACTTCGGCAGTGATTCGACAAGATGATAATAATTATTTTTGCATCGCGTTTGACTTTATATGCGAACTTTTACACGATATACATCACATACAATAAAATAGATATGAGAAGAAATTAACGCGGGACCATTCAGTATACATTTCTCATTAAACATAAATTTCTCCATGACCTAATCGAATGTTTAAATCATTCTGCTACCCACAGTTCTGCTCTTCGATTAAAGAAACGAGTATATTTTACTTTGCTACATCTTTTAAATGAACTTTCATACATATTTGCTCAGCCATGAAATTACTTGTCGAATTTATGTTGACTCCGCGGATTGAATCAGCCGCTCTCTCGTTTTTTTCCCTCTCAGAATAGCTTCTTTGAACAACGAACAGTAGAGCTCGATGGCGCACAGGGAGTCGTCGTTTCCTGGCACGGGGTACGTTATAAGATTCGGATTGCAGTTTGTGTCCACTATGCCGATGCTGGGTATGCACATCTTCGCCGCGTGTCTCACCGCCACGTGCTCGGACATGACGGTGTCGAGGGTATTGAGAAAGATACACAGGTCCGGCAGTCGCGTGGTCGCCTTGAACTGATTCTGCGAATTCGGGAACAACCCGAGCCGCCAGTATCTCGTATGCGAAAATTCTTTACACTCCCTCGCCGTTTTGTCCACTAAATGCGTGACCTGAGGATTGCGCGAGATGAACAAAATAATGCCGCCGCGGAAGGCGATATGGGCGGCGAAGTTTAACGCCTGTCTCAACAATTCCGCCGTTTGGTCCAGGTCGATTATCAAGTGTCCCAGCCTGGAGCCGAACACAAAGGTCTCCATATGCTCGTTCAGTGCGGTCTCCTTGTGGCCGTAGTGCACCCTCGCGTCGTACAGGTCCTTCACGGTGAACAGCTTGTGCACTTGGAAGAAATCCGGATGTGTCAACGGATCTAACGCCGCGACCTCTTTTCTTTCTGGAAGATTGAGTAGATTTATTCGTAACGAGGAATGTTTTGTAAAAGCTATGCTAAAACTTATCTCCTGAAAATTGCAAAGGATCACGGACACGAAGACTAATGCGTCGTCTACAAAGCGTGGAGTAAGCCTGGCGTAAGGAGTAAGAAAGAATCGTAAGCTTCGGCTCTTGGCGTAAGGAAGCTAAAGTACAGGCATAATTTTTTTAATATCTGACCCTGGCGTTCAGATTCACCGAGAGTAAGCGCAAGAGCTCAAGTAGGAGTGGGAAATAAAATTGATTCCTCACTTCTACTCCTTACTCTACGCATTATGGACGACGCATACAATGTAAGACCCGATCTACAATGAGCTGTTAGTCGTCAGAAGTCACAACTACATGTTGGTCCTTTTTCTTCCACCCAGAGGGGAAACGAATCAACATACAGTTCCGACTTCTAACGACGAACTCATTGTAGACCGGGCCTTAAATTTACAGATACACAATATGTGAATTTACCGGGTTCCTCTGGACTCTGTTGAAATTGAGTTGACAGCCGACACCGTCGAAGACAGGTATTACGGACGACAGGTCGCAAACACTGCCATTCCCTCGAGGCTGCAAACGGAAACACGTTGCTAAATGCATTGTATCGCTGTAGAGGCGACAACTTTCGCGCCTAGAATAGAGATAAAATTATAGTTACGGCTGGATGAAAATATTCGCCTCGCAAGTATGGACATTGTGTACGTTGACGCGAATCTCGTTTGCCCGTGTACTTTAATTCGGCGTTTTTAATTCAACGCTCGCTGAAAGACTACGCTAGCTGTATTGATAAATAAGTCAGCAGAGGTTACGTAGCTCGCTTAGCGCGAGGAAGGTGCAATACCAAGAGGGGGAAGCTCGGGGGACAAGTGTTCTTTCTAGCTGAACTTGCTGCACCAGTTTATCTTCTCTTCCTTTTGTCATCTGTTTTACCGATACATTCCAATACAGTTTTTGCGCTGCTAAATCTTTTTATTAGCTTTTATGCACAAAATAACGCCGGGACAAGTTGCGGACCGCATAGCAGCACATTTTCATACTTAAAACGCTCAGGTCAAAAGTCTAATGGAAAAGCTACTGGTATTTGAAGTTTTCGACCTTCTAATCGCTCGAGCGATGTAAAAATTAAGGCTTTGTAAAATTACAAAATTCCCAAAAGCTGTATGCGACTCTGTCGGTTCGCGCGACAATCATTATATTCCGTCTCGTTAGCTTGACTCGCGGTTCAAAGCGCGCCGAAAAATTGCGAGCGAAGTGGAGCAAAGCGAGCAAAGCTGTCAAGCGAGCGCCTAGTGACTTTCTCCCTCGTCCCCGTTGCCGACGCCGTTGGCGGCACTGGCCGCCAGTTTCTCCGGGGGACACACTCGACTATATCTTCGCGGCGCACGTCGACGATCTCACGTCTTCGCGATCCCAACCGGACGATCTGCGTGTCGTTGATCCGTTTGCGTACGGCCGATCGGGACGGTGGATCTCGCGAAAGGTACGTTCCAGCGCGCTACTCGCGGCTGCGTGGTTCCCCCGCGGGGGCGGAAACGCGCCGTCTCCGTCGCGCGTTCTTGTCTCTGTTTGTGTCTCTCTCTCTTTCTCTCGCCGCAGCGGCTTTCCCGTCCGGGACACTTCCATATCCGGAATTCCGCAGGACGGTTTCCCCGTCGCCGCGTCGGATGCAACCGCGCATTCGTCGCCGCGTACGTGTGTCGCGCGCGCGCGCGCACGCACGCACGCACGCACGCACGCACACGCGAGACGCCAGAAATAATTTCTCCGCTTCTCAGTTATACTAATAGATCCTAGTTGCACTCCGTCTGCACTCCGCGCTTCTGCCTTCCTGCCTCGCCGAGGCACGGAGCGGTACCGTAGGTTGTGTTGCGCGTCGCCGAGTGCAGGAGAGTGGCAGCCGCGGACCCGTCTGCTTCAATGTTGTTGTCCGTCTCTCCGTTCTCCTCCTCTTCCTTTTTCCCCCTCGGCGATGCGAGCGGTGTCAACCCCTATTCTGTTTTGCGTTTTGTCGGCCGTCCCTTCCTCACTCTCTTTCCCCTCCCTCTTTCCTCAAGGCGTGATGCGAAAACAGTTCTTTCTCGCGTGGGAAAACGTTTGTACACGGGGGGGGGGGAATTTTCTCTGAAAATTTACCCTGAAAAATCGTGGGACAATGTGGCATCTTGAACAACTTTATGACAATTTAAGAGCCTTGTTTACATAAAATAGAATCGTCCCCGCACGTTTTAGATCGTTGAGAGTAATACTAGAAGGAGAGAGATTGCGGAAATGGTTTTTACAAAGAGGACTAATCGTACAGTTAATTTACAAAAAGACACTGAAAATCTCAACGCTATTTATGACCGCATAACCGACCTAACTTAATTCGTGTTACCACTGTTTATTAATTTTTTTTACTTGTTCTTTGACTTTCGCTTCTTTTTAATTGTACCCTCCGCTGAATATTTTAGTCGGTCATGCTCGGTCGGCTCTCAAGCAAGGTTCTTGTGTTGCAAACTCGGACAAATAACTTTACAGCATGTGAGTCCATGCATCGTGAATGTCAACTGAAATCTCTGTACGTTTCTCTCTTTCTAACACGCTCATTTTCAGTATGAGATCATAATTCTTTCTACACCACCAAATTACACGCGAGTCTATGTACCTGACTATCTCAGGTGACTGTTAATTTACTATCTCGGATTGTTTATTGTATCTATGTAATAACTTGTAAATTTTTCTTTGCATTGTCAGATCCCTTGAAAAGGACCAAAACCCATGGTCGAAACGTCGCGATGCTTTAATGTTAAAATTGCCAGATATGGTCAACTGAACTGGACGATTCGGCGAGAGGTAGCCTAGCGTTCACGGTTGCTACGCGCGCGGCAAGCGCGTGCATCTAGCAACGATGAATAACGCGTGACCGGGTGGTCCTTAATATGAGATTGCGGGTCTTCAGTGTTCAATTTCAGAAATATTTTTTTCGCAACGATTACACGCACGATCTAACGATGAATTTTTCACTGAACAGGTTTCACTCCGAGGGCGATGAATTCACGGTGGAGACAACACGCGGTGCCTATTAATTTAGCGGAAATTCCGCAATCCTATATTAGGAGCCTATTTCTCACAACGTGTGGACTCGCCTCTACAAAATCTACTCGATCTCTGCCTCGGCAGACTGCTGTGTTTCTGTCCAGTATTCTGACGGCATCGGAAACGCCAGATTCCATATCAAATGCCGCAATCTTTCAACAAAATTCGCGGCAGACACCGCGTAATCTGTTCTCGAGACCCGAGATCACATACAATGTTTCTTCCCGCAATTGCACACACATGAATGTGTTATTTTCTGATGGAGAAAGAGAGAGAGAGAAAGAAAGATCTCGCTCAACGATCTTCGTCGCCCGATTAGCGCGACGCACGTGCGCGTCGCACGGACGAGGTGTATTTTTGGAGGACGAGGGCGGCAAGGGCAAGGAGTCCGGGATTCCACCACCGCTTCCCTCACGCCGGCTCTCTGTTTTGCTACGCGCTTCGCCGGGGGAGCCGTCACGGGCGCGGGCGCGCCGCAAATTAAATTATTTCCGTCGCCGCGCGACGACTCGCCGGCGGCTCTCGCGCGCTTTCGGAGGACCTCTATCTTACGGTGGAATCCGATTTGGAACGATTGCAGCGTGTCCTCGCGTTGCTCAATAATTGCGCCGTGCGGGAGAAATGAGTTGGAAGGCGGTGGCGGTGACGGGGAACCTTGGCCTCCTCGAAACTTTCATTCAGTCCACGATACTTTCTCCTTACAATATTAGCGCTTCTAAACGATTGACACTAGTGTCGAGTACAATATTTTTACTACTCTGAGAAAAAAACTTGGTGATATTAATAAGTACGTTCAGTTAGCAGGATTCTTAAACATACGAGGTCTGTCTGGAAAATATCCGACCTTGCGCTCTGTCCCTTGTACCTGGGTGTGCTATTGTTAAAAATAGCTATTCATTATTTAGGGGGGGGGACCTTTATGAGTGCCCCTGGCAAGCAGCACGGTCCTTCGAATTTTTGCAGTCAACAACAGTACGCTGTTTAGTAAACATTGAATTTTGTACGCGTCGCATTTCACGATGATTGAGCGCATCGAACAAAGAGTGTGCATTAAATTTTGCCCAAAAACTTGGCCATTTGTGTTTGGAAGCCATCCACATTATTCGTAAAGTATATGGCGATGAAGTGATACACAGATCAAAGAATGGTTTAAGCGATTTAAAAAAAAATGTATACTTATTGATCTTGGCAGGCAATTTAAGTAAAAGTATAATTTTAAATGTCGACGTGAGTATTGGGCTTTCAAGTTTCCTTTTATACAACAATGATAATGTGTTTGTTGCAGGATCACAATGGCTACCGCACAATTGAACAGGGCCAGGACCGTAAAGAAGCTCGAAAAACCACGGCCGCTTAAGCTTAACCAGCGCAACTCGACCGTCGATGGGCGGATCACGACTGGTAAATATTTTCGCATTTATTCTCACTTCGGCGAAACCCGCTGTCTCCCGCGGCGACGGTCCTCCCGTGAATTGTCACGAGTGTACGAGTCTGTTCTCTCCCGAATGAAATCGATGACATTTACTCTTTGTGAACTCCTTGCTTCTTCTGACTTTTCAGTAGAGGATATAGTGTCCTTAATCGACAATGTTGCAATGCAACTGACCAATGGCTTCCATGACCGAACGCTGCAAATGAATGTGATCTCTATGTGTAGTCACCTGAAACTCTATGCCAACCAGTTAGAAGCTATTTACAAAGGTAGGTCGTCCGTCGTGGTGAAACGTAATCTCGTGGGCCGGTAGTTCGGACGAAGTTCTGTCCCGAGTTTAGGCTTTGTTGCACGTGCGTTTAAATACCGGCGAGTAATTTGCTTTCTCACTTCAGATCAGCTGGACCGGGCCTTTGTGGCGATCAGAAATGGGAGCCAGGACGACAGATTAGATCTGACGACCAGGGTTCATCTGCTGGAACTCATCGAGCTGCGTGCGAAACAGTGGCGTCACACCGATTCGATGGACGTGTACTACATGCAGAAGTTGTCGCATCTAGACAATGTAGGCAAAACCGCAGTCCCGCTCGTACTTTCTTTCACATTCCTGTAACTTTTCGAAATTACAATTGAAGCGTGCCAGCACCAGGAAACCAGACACAAGAGCGATACTTGGTGAAAGTAGGAGCTTCCAGTTGAAATTTTTGGACATCATCTAAATAGCTTTCTTAAGGCCTGTGTCCACAATGCTAGAACTTGGACCGAGTTTTAGCGTCGTGGACACAACCCTGTGATCTCGAAATATTTTCAAACAATCCTTCATCAGTTCAGAACCGGAAAGTTCATCTATTGAAAGCGCATCCTGTGCATGCCATTGCAAGCTTCCAGAGACGAGTTGACTCGCAGTAAATGCGCAATGTCTTAACTCGCGTCGTATCTAACAGTAGTAAAATCAGAGACGGATTGTTCGTCGATAAATAAATTAACAATTTAGCTGAAAAATATATCGTGACGTGAGTTAACTCGTCTTTCGCGCTGCAGAAGTACTTTCCAACGACGAGTTGTCATTGAACTCTCGTCATCCCCGAAAGATTAACAGCAGTTGACTTTTCTTTACCTGGCATTAGATAAAAATACTTTCGTTCCTTTTCCCTAGCTGACCGAGGCGGTACCTGATACACCTACAAACTCCTTGTCGTCCCCGTTATTGACCTCGCCCACCTCGGCACCGATCCTGGGGCCCGGGGAAGTGATCAAGAATAGCGGAAAGTTCGCGAAGCCTACGCGCATACCGGGGAAAAATTATTGCAAAGACGAGGTCGTCATTCGCAACAGCGACTCGGGAAAAGGTAAATCTTTTAACCGTTCTCATTCTCGTTGTACGAATTTCTATTCGAATTAAACGAAAGAAGAAAAAATAGTTCGAGTCTTACGGATCGAAATGCGGCCCGTGCATTTTTGGCAAATATTTTCATTACGTTATTTGCAGTATTTTTAGTAATGTCGCGCTGCGATCGGATAGGGATTGTCCGTCAGATGAAGGCAATGATCTTTACGTAATGATTTTTACGTAAAAGTGAAAACTAATCGGTTGTATAAGACTTTTAATGATTTCCCCGATTATGTTGGCCGTTCTGTTGTTAAATGATTTGCATGAAAATACAGTGATGGGAATAAAAGGGCGGCGGGTTCACATGATAGAAGAGCTCAGCCAGACGATCATCTCCTTCCAGCGAGGTAAAGAAGCAAATGAATGATCCGCCAATGGCTTGTCATAGCATTTTGTGCTCATTGCATCGCAAGAAATAATATTAATCGGTCGAACAAGGCTCTCTCTTGTCCTACAAACCCACACCCGCCTAATCCTCTCTTACATTACTGAGCATTGAGTTTGACGCGGCAGACTTGTATTGATTACTGTTGTTAAAATGTCATACGTGTGTGAGAAGAAGTATTCGTATCTGTGATAAAAAGAACCGCAGCCAATACCTTTCATCGGGTCAATCTTAGTTTGCATGACAAAGCTGTAATCTAACCAGCGTGATCCAGCCACTATTGAGTTTTAGTGTTTTAGTTTTGCAACGTGATCTACTAATCGAAAAATGCAAAGCACGTCAGCTTTCTTTCACGTGATGACGCAGAAATCACGTTACACTTTGCAACGATTAAATCGATCGACAAATTCATTTCCTTTATTCCTTTTTTTCTCTGTTAAAATCGTACAGATGAGACGAAATAGTCTAGTTTTTCTCTCGACCGACCAAGTACATAATATATGCAATTTATATTAATCGTTGTGGAATTTAACAGCCCGGTGAGTGAAGTATACGAATGTTGCGCGTTGCGTTCACAGCTTTAAGAGTAAAGATATTATGTTGTATCACCGGTTTATTAACGCCAGGTTGATTGTATATCGCGGGTCCCACGTGGAAGATAGGGAGGTTTAGCATTTCATTAATACCTCGACATTTTCGTTAATATCGCACAACGTGCGAAACGGCCTTCCGTTTTACACTCAGATGTGATATACTTGAGGTTTTGTTTTAATATACGTTGTATTATCGCACTTACCTTGCTTTGGCGATATCTTAACAGTTTTTAATATCACACCTCGTTTAACATATTAACTGCGCCATTGGACTCGTGTTAAAAGATGTTAACGACAACTACCACATGATCTTTTTCTCAACGGATATCAATGTCGGCAAGACTGCACCGCTGATACCATGTATCTTGGTTTGTAGTAAACCCTGGAGCTAAAGAACGACTTGTCCAAATCACGGGAACGTCCGAGGACAAGATTCAGTATGTCTAAATAATATATTTATCATAAAGTAGATGTTTAATAAGTAAATAGGTGTAGAACTTGGGTATAGAACATACAATAAATATGTCCTGTACCCAAGAGCTAACTTAATAACGGCACACTTACCGAGCCAACGTTCGTCAACAGCTTCTTTTAACTCTCGCCTCCTTTCTCTCAGCTATGCGAAGGATTTAATCAAAGATACGATACAACGAAATGCATCGCCAGTGAGACTGGAGCAGAGCCCCGGCGGCGAGAAGGGAGCGATGGGCGGCTCCAGCTCCTCGCTCAACAGCAGCGCGTCGGACGAGAGCAATCGGCTGCAGCAGAATCAGCAGCACAACTTTCGTCTACGTTCGTCCCTCCTGCACAGTCTCTCCACCAACGACGCCAGCATAGGCGAATACAAGTACACCGTCACCGTCGGTAACCAGTCCCTCAAAATTACGGGCTGCAATCTCGACCTCGTCAGGGTAATGATGAACTCGTTATATCTATCTTATATCTAATTGTATCATCGCTTTATCTATAATTTTTATTAAGCTCGAGCTCAGGCATTTATCTTCCGTTCATCGGGCGTTAGTCTACTTGAGTTTAGATGTTGATAAACTAAATTAAAGATTTGACTTGTGGCAATCGGCGCACCTAATACCATTCTATTCATTTTGCGTATTCTGCTTCTGCTCGTGTACAATTGCTGTGAACTGGATGGCGCGCAGACAGCAAAACTGGTACTGGACGAACACTTCTTGGGTGACTCTGAGAACTTCACCAGCGGGATAGAGTACTTCAATTACGAGGACGAGCCCAACTTCGCTGTAACTACCACGTCCACCCCCAATCATCCCCGTACGCCGTTGTCGCCGTTGGACAATGTAAACGCTCCTGTCTCTCTAGGCCGAGAGTTAAGTGTGGAGAGCGCCGCTACGTCCTCGGAGAGCGAAGAAACTTACAAGCCTCGTCCGATCTCTGAAGAGCGAGGCTCGACTCAACAAGGTACTAGAATAAAAAAACACACCGTGACATTATTATATTTAACTTTATAATCGTAAATGGATAGTTCACCGTCTAGCAATCCCGTTTTCATTCACAATTTACATTCTGAGTGGGTCGAAATAAAATCTGGCCCAATCGGTTTTAACACGACCAGTCATAATAAAACCAATTTTAATCGATACACCTTGTAATTCCGCCCGTTCTGTTCGCTCAGTTCCAGAAGCGAGAGAACTTACGTACGAGTTTCTGCTGCTGTGCGCGTCGGGCCCGTACGCGAAGCGGCCCCCCGCCGATTGGGCGCGCATACAGAAGGAATGTCCCAATATAGTTCGTAAGGTACCGCTATGCGACAGGAACGCCAATCATATACCGTGCAAAACCTTCCGCGTCACTTTCCCCTGCAACATCGCGATTTAATACTCTTGTGTGACAACACGCATCATAATACATTATACACTAACGTCCCGCCGGGAGAGGAGTCTGCGTTTCCGAAAACGCGGTGTGTGGCGAGTGTGAATTGTCGCTGTATTCCTTAATCGCATGCATTCGGACGGATAAGAGATCTGCTCGGTCACAATCGGGTCTCCGTATTCTCCTTCGAGAAGAGAAGACTCTCTCTCTCTACGAAGGAGACAGAACGAGACCGAACTGTGCGTAACAATTAACCAAAGAGAGAATCTGATGAAGATTATCATGAACTTGTGAATCTCAATATTATCTCGTATATTAAAAGTCGCTTTAGAACCCCCTCACGACATGCGTGACATAATTAGAGATTAGATCTCTTGCAATAATAGGGGAGACTCAAAGACCAAAGAGATCGTAAGTGAGTTTCCTGATGTGATTCGCGTATATTATTTTTTTAAATATTGTTTACTCATTTACGGTTAATTTGAAAAAGACTGCGCATTAAGCTCGCGCAACTAATTGTCTGAATGGCTGTACGAATTGCCAAAGTCACGAGGTGCAATTCAAAAACATTTTGTGCTCGGCTCGAAGAACCAGTCCTAGCAAGATTGACTTGTTGCGTGAAACATTCATGGTATATCCAGTATTTATTGCGTACAAAGTTTTATACGACGTTTGTACCGAAAATCCAAAGTCTATGTTCCTACGTTTCACGTTTAGAGATACCCTACGATGTTTGTAAGCTGTTTTTTCTTATTATATTACTACATTACTTGTTCATATTATTGTAAAGAACTTTATTATTTTTTATATTTTTGTTTCTCTCCTATAAGAAATCTGTTATGTTTCTGTCAAGATGAGATTGTTTCATTTCATCTTCTACACAAAGAGGCTGATACGATTAGCCTAATGAAACTAGTGTTGTGCAATAAGACTCACACGCTGTATTAATAAATGAGTATTGCAAAATCCGCCGAGTCTTGCTCACTCGCGCATTCTTCGTAAACAGGGCAAGCGGCAGTTTACACGACGCTTTTGCGACATACCTGGCGCACTTGCTTGCACGCATGGCTCGCAAGGTCTGTAACTCGAGCGGCGAGAAAGAAAGGTGGCACGTGCCAACGTTTACTAACATTTCAGAATACACGATATTTTCACTACACCCGTGTCTATCATCAGAGTGGGAAGGCCTCGTGTAAAGTATGCTTGCAAATGTGTTATAGACTTAACGATTTCCGCCTGCATGTGTCCTCGTGTGAGCAATTTAACACTCGGCTTTCCAACCGAATCGAAGCATGCTGCTTATAACAAGGTAAGGTAAAGGGATTACTGCTTCCTTACTTATATCGCCGGGCCAGGGCACTAATATATATATCTCTCTCTCTTCATAGGCACCGATTCGCTGGTTCGAACCGGAGGCGTACAAAGCCAAGCTAGCAGCCGCTGGTCCCGTTGCGATATTGCCGATCGGCGAAGCGGAAACCGATCCCGAGTGAGGCCGGAGGTCAATTACGTCGCCTTCCTCCCGTTTTTCTCTCCCACCTTGGGGACGAGAAATTTTCAGAGAACGACGTTGTGTGTGCTGTAACGGTCTTGTCGGTCGTAACAAGATCAAGAAGGAAGATGAGACAAAAAGATACCTTCCGCGAGGGAAAAGCGCGATGCGAGAGGCGAAGCGTACGTCGAGGAGTTTCATTGACGATATATCTTGAGGAGGCTAAAAGATGAAAAGACGCCTTCGCCGAGCATTCGCACTTAGGATTCATCCAAATGCGAATTATCGGACGCGCGCTTTATGTAATTGACACGCTAGTCATTAGAGTGAAAAAGAAACAAGTATTTATTCATTCTATTTATTCAAAAAAATTGTCGTACACGCGATCGCTTTGCTCTTTTCGATTGATTACGTTACTTTCGAGCCGCACCGACACTGTACGGCACGCACGCGACTTGTGCAGCGACTCTGCCGCGGAACAATCTCGACAGAGCGCGCAAGAATGTTACGTTAGTTGTTAATGACAAGGAAAAAAAGAGAAACAAGATCCGATTTGTTAAAATCGCACATTGAAAGACAGCCATTAACTCTCGTACGTGTAGTCGCGATAGGATTAGTGGCGTTAGACTGAGGAAATTAGGAGTGCGCATTCGAGAGGAGGGGAGTTTATCTTTTGTACGCGAGATTATTTATAACGATTTTTTTTTTGCTATTCGCCCGTAATCGGGTCGAGGGTGACGTCTCTCGCGGTCTCGGCGGGAGAACGGATTAATCGTGAAAGACTAATACGTACTTTAGGAGAAAATAGGGTAGCGATTACACGTTTACCACGCGTTTATAAGAACAAATCCCGCTTTTGTAAGTAGCAACTCTGTCCCAAATCCCGACGGGGATTTCAACCCCGCCGTGTAGCGAGGCGCGTTACGCGACGGGGAGTGAAATCGTGATTTAGCATAGTCTAGTCTACCTATTTCAACGTAGGAATATTACCTTTTCTTTGGTATTTACTCTGCTGTGACGCAATAACCAAAAAACTTTAGAAAACGGAGGAGAAGGAATTGAATTTTTTTTTCGAGAGTTTATATATATTTTATATACGCTAAACGGAAGCGTTCGTGTGCTACGTGCAGTATGTATCGGGAGGATCGTTCTGTAACCGCCAGTTCTCGTTTATTTCACGTCGTGTAGTAAGCAGCGTGAGACAACGCTTCGTTTGTTTGTTAATGAAACGTGGGATGATGCAGAAGATGGCTAAGACGGTTCCTTGCGCGTGGAATGTTATTTTACTTGAGAATCGAGAAATTCGTTGCAATTCCTTTCTCGGTAGACTGAATCCTCGATTCGGTCTCCCATTAATTTGCGATTTAGAACTCGAGCGATTCACAAACTGCAACAAGTTACCGGTACGCTCGTCTGGTGTTTATCAAACGAAAAGATTTTGATATCGCCACAAAATCCGAAGACGTAGGTCTAATTCTCTGCCAATTCTACGATATCGTTAACACCAAATTCATTTGGCCATCGACGCGTGTTCGCGAACAAGGGACGCGGCTTCCTCCGCGCATCGTAGGACTTTACTGCACAATGTCTAGGACACTTACGTTCGTTTTTAAGTTTTTACACAATTTAATATTTATTACGGATTTACACTCTACTTGGAGATTAAATTATATATGTATGTATGTACAATTTATATATAAATAAAATCATTTATATATAAATTTTATCTATATACACATAATTTATTTCTATCGTCTCTAACTAACTGAGCAGTAATGTAATAGTACTATAATGCATTATTGTACCTTGTCGTTTATAATAATAAATCAGCAAAGTCAGAGACACGTACGTTGATAATTGTCTTTTTCTCTTTTTCTTCCCTTGCGAAGGTACGACGGAGAGGGAGCGCCTTGCGCACGAAGACTGGATGTACAATAATAAGTTCGGCTGCGTCGATCCGGCACTAGTCTTTTATTATTCCAATAATAATAATATATATCGAAAAGTGAGATAATCACTGAAACATACACATGTATTTCCCGCCGGCCTCGCGGATTCAGAAAATTGTACTAGATATCAATTGCACTCTTACTAGAGTTCCCATGTAAAAGTTAAAAATCTTAGCAGTGCTCGACAAAGGCCCGCGCTCGCCGATTGCATTCTTCCCCCTCTTTTTTTTCTTTTCTCCCCCCCCCCCCACTTTTCCTTTCACACGATTCATTTACATTGCTATTATTCGTATTGCGAGTGATTGCGAGCGGCCTATCGTGTAATCTTTTTTTTGTTACTCGTGGAAACATACATATTATCATATTATCAATACTTCGTATAGTCCAGTCTAAAATCAATCTTGGCTATGATCTAGCTAGAGCGTGTATATAACTGGTTCTTCCCCTCGCAATTATCAATAATTATAATATCGTCGTCCTGCTGTCGCGTGTGTATATATGTACGTACGTACGTGTGTATGTGTATGTAAGTGTGAACAATGATGCACCTATTATGTAATAAATAACAGTCTATTAGTCTAGCGCGATAACTAATAACGCTACTTCTACAGAAATTAGTGCAACACGCGGCGTAAACGTAACGGGAGGGTCAAAACGAGAGATCTCCTCTACTACCTTTTCCGTTTTTAGCATACGTATCGTGAGATATGTGCACGAGAGAGAGAGAGGGGGAAAATAATGTTAACAGCGTTGAATTTAATTGGAAATAGATCTCGCCCTAGAAACGAAAGTCTTGTTTGGAGTTTTCCCGAATTCTACGAAGTTCAAAATTTCTCACAATTTCTATACAATTTTACAACTTGTTAAAAACTCGGAACACTTTTCAGAAAATGCTGAGAAAGTCTACATCACTATTTTAGAATTCTGAAATATTCCAAAATTTTTTGTTGTAATCTCCAAAGAAAGTGTCAACTGAAACACGAGGAAGTTCAAGGTACCTTTATCAGAAATTTTCATGAATTTAAATGCGAAAAATGTTCTAACACATCACGGGATATCGCGAGAACTCGTCGCCAGAGTGTAAATTCAATAACAGCATTCTTTAGCGGCAATCTTTAGAGAGCCACGGGGGTCTTTTTTCTTAAAAAACAAAAAATTTCATTGTAGAAAAAATATATACATATTTAATATGCACTCAAATATATAAAATGTAATATTAATTTCGAGACATTGCAGACGCGACCCTCTTGAAACAAAATTGTTTTCACTAAAACACGTGTCGAATTAACCGGATCAATTCCACTTAGACTAGCGCTGTTAGTACATTATTTTTCTTTCATTTACGCGAGTAGAAAATAAATGACAGAACATCGACGTTTTTCCTTTTCGATAATGAACATGCAAAAACAGCCTCGGAATGTAATCCGGAGCGCTTCGCGAACCCTCTTACGTATATATGTATGTATATATTATCTACGTGTGTATCTTATAATTAATTAGTAGTAATTATGCATATGATGCGCGCACGTAACATAGGTTCATCGCGTCTCGACCGATGAACAGTCAGCAGAGTCGCGACTCGCGTTTCCTCCTTTTTCCTCTTTCCCCAAGCGTTGGACGCTTAAACGTGTTACGTCCTCGGCCGATCGAGAACAAGCGACGCCTTGTCATATGTACAAGTTCGACGAAATAACGACGACTTTCCTCTCCTTTTACGAAACGGCCGGTCTCGCAACGGCGCGAGGCGGACCCGAATTTGAAGGGCAGGGAGCGAAGATTAAAAATTAGTTACAGCGCGCGAATTACAGGCAACACGATACCTTTACCCTCCTACCGAGACACACGCCGTCGCACAATAAAATACAATTGTGTAGAATCACGTCTAACAATTTCTTTTTCTTCCTAATCGAACAGAATCTCGCAGATCCTCCGCAGATTTTCGTAAATCTCCGGCGCCTGGATTTCGCAAGTTTTTTTTTTTACAAAGGACAAGTCTCGCGCGCGTGATTTCGCAGTGTAAAAAAATGCGCGGAGAACGAAAGCAAGGAGGGGAGGAGGCAGCGGGGTGTCACGACAAACTAATCTCTCTCTTATTGATAGATATAAATACGTCTTACGTATTAAGCACATGCGCCAGAATGTCTCGCGATTCGATCTGTGAAGATGGGAGGCTTAATGCTACGCTTTAATGCTTATCAAGTGAGCGTAAAATATATATGTGTACATACGTACAAATACACATAATTTATATGTATATATATGTATATAAATAAATATATAATTTATATATTTTTTATCTAAATTCATATATATATAAATTATATCTTATTTATATATGTATTTGCGCATATATATATATATACGTACACATGCGTGTATATGTGCGCCTAGTAACTCTTTCACTCGGTTCCGAGCAAGATCCGCGCGAGAAGTGCAAATAACGGTAAGAAATTAAGGGGTACATTTTCTCGTTTATTTTTATAGCCTAGACATCGTTTTATAAAACATAAATCGCTAAAAGCGATGTAATTCACTTAAATATATATATATATATATATATATATTTCAGTATTTCTTTATATTATCAAGTTTTTCTTAGGTGGGGGGAGGGGTAGGCTAGGGGATAGGGGAGCAAACCGCGATCCGGCAAAAAGTTGCTGGTGGGTATGCTTTCTTTCCATTTATGTATATATAAAAAAAGGAGTGCACAATATTGAATACGCTCTACGAATACATATAATATCCTCGATACGATGCTGCAAAATGTAAACGTGATACTCCATGAATGACATTATTATACATTTATGAGAGAAACAAGTGTATGTGTGTATGTGTATGTGTTATACGTGTTATGCTCGTTTAAGGGAAATATAAAATTCTTCAGCTGCCAGTTTCAATAGTTGGTTTCCTTCCCTTCCTTTCTTTTTCCTCCTAGAGTTCCTCCTCTCCCTTCGTTCTTTATATCGATATATCGCGTCTCACTCGCACGAATATGTCCTACATATATACAATAGCGCGGTTATTAACTTCTCGCGTGCCGAAGTCTGCGCTCGCTACTATCCCGTGTTTCTCACATTATTCGCTGCACTCCGTCCGCACCCGTTGCAAATTTTAAACGGCCTCCCCATTTCCGTCTGCGCGAGTTCGTTTGCTAATTACCCTACTTCACATCCAATCAGAATAAATTTCTACCTAAACGAAATAAAAAATACCTTCCCGCTCTCACTTGAAAGCCACCCGCAATTTGCGACGGTTCCCCTCGGTCAATCATCCTCTACGGATTATCACGATGTTCGAGTGCCTTGCACGAACTGGCACGTAGAGGCGAACAAATCAGCGGTGCGGCATATAGAAAGCATTTTACCGGTGGCAGAAGCGCACGCGGGGCAACCGACCGACCCGAGGCAAGCTCGTTGAGTCCACGTACGATATTTAAATTAACATCACTTTATGTATACCGATCGCAATCATGATTTAATACGCATGCGATGTATAATCATTCTATAGAAAATATGTTTCCACACTCTCACATTTATACCGCGCGTAAATGTAAAAAATTTTTCCGTTTAACTATTTCCACACTGTTCTTTTTTTTTCCTTTTTTCCCCTTTTAACATTCTCGCTTCTTTTTTTTCCTTACTTTAAGTCTCCTCTCCTTTAAGATTCGTCGTTAGAACATAAAATTCACTAGATACATCGTCAGCGGGAGACATACTCCACTCATGGATCGACACGCGTTGACGGTGACGATGATGACAACAATGACGATGGTGACCCGCGGGGTTAAAATACGTAGTCGGGGCCTGCCATGTCTATTGCCCATCGAAATTTATCCCTCTGAGTCTTGTTATAAATCTTCTCGATCGGAACGTTGTGCTTCTTACACCTGGTGAAGCGTAGAAATTTAATACAGATGTGGAAGACGAAAGTAACGCATAAAGTGTTGATGTTTTAAGAAAAAGCGTAAGAGATACAGTAACAAATATATGAAATTGAAAGGTAAACAATGTTAAGTAATAAAATTGATAGTAAAATTGGAAGAAATTAAATAAAAATATACTTGCCATGCGACAGAAATTCTGGGATCGAGATAGTTCAACTTGGAGGTACTCAGCGCGATCTCCTTGTTCTCTTCTCGGTCGGTCGCCTGGACCTCCAGCTTCGTCAACTGGTCCTTCAATCTTTCCAATTGTTTCTTTTTCTTTTCATACATTCTGCAAAGACAGGCGCAATCAATACGTGTGTGCAAGTCGCACGATACAAAAAGCCAAATCGCTAAATTATACAAAGAATTTGTAAATAAGTTTGTTAGATGCGTGTTTCGTGGAACGGTTTCTTGGTCTAAATATTATTTAAATTAAAACTGCATCTACACAATCGTCTTGCGTATGTGCGCAAAATTCATAATTAACTAAATTTAGATTAATCAATAACTTACTTCGCAAACAATCTTAATTTAAATTCAATTATTCGTCATGAATTTATAATATTGGCTATTCGACGCAAATACACTGTGAAAGTAACATACACTTTTTCCTTCACCGAGCCGTGTTTCGCGTCCCGCTTAGCGTCCTTAACTTGCAGCTCGCATTCGGCTATCGTCTCCTTCTTCGTATCAATCTTCGCCTTCAGGTTCTCCATGGATTTCGCGTGCGTTTTCGGCACGGAACGCTGATGGTTACACAGTATGGCGACGGCGCGATTGGCTCGGTTGTACGAGAGGATCTTCTCCGCCTCGGTTTCATCCGGGTCCGTTAGTTTGTCGAGCTGCTGTTGCAGCGTCCACGATGCGTTGTAAGTTCTGAATACTTTGGCGGTGAGGCCCTCCATCAGCTCGTTCAGATGCTTATTCATGACAGTGGTGTTGAGACGATCGAACAGATCGTCCCCGGGTGACTTATTTTCCATGAAGAGCTGCAGATTCTTGAAGACGCGCTTCTCCACCGGCACCTCGTTGTAATATCGAATGGAATCTTTACCTGCGGGCGGTTAATTCCATAAAAATCATGTAACATTATGACATTGAGAGATAAGACACAACTTTATCTTAATTACAAACACATCAGGCATGGTGTCACAATGGCAATAACTCAATTGTTACCTAAGAAATCGAACACGACGACGTATTCCTTGGCGTCCCTAACCTCGTGCAGCTTGATATGCTCCACTCGCAGCGAGCAGCAGCCAACAGTGTCCGCCTGATCCTCGTCCTTCTCGTTACCGGCCCTGAGCGCCAGCTTGTCGATGAAATACAGAGCGACCGCCCGCTGCCTAATACGCATCTCCTTGCTCTTCCAGTCCTCCCGATACTCGGCGCGGATCTTGTCGATCGACTGCGCCAGCTTCCGCGCCGTCTCGTACTTCTGCCAGTCCTTCTCGCCCTTGAGCTTGCTAGATGGATTCAGCATCACGTACTTCACCTGGCCCTGAATGTTTTCCGTCCAGGACGCGAGCCATGTGACGTTGGGATCGTGCCGCACCTCCTTCCACTTGTGGCCGGCCGGTGGTTTCGGTATATTCGAGTCCTTCGAGCAGTTAATGAGCACGTCCTCCGGCAGCACTCGCTTCTTCAGCTTGCCCATCTTGGGGTGCTCGCCGCGGCCCCTAAACAAGCCGGGCGGCTCGATCTTGAAATTACCGATCTTCTCCTTATGGCCGTCGATGGAGCAGAAGCCGTACTCCTTCTGTATCTCCTCGTTCTTCTCCTTGATCTTCTGCTTCTCCTCCTTTGTCATGGCCTTGCGCTCCTCGCTCTTCTGCACGAAGTACGCGTGCATCTCCTTGAAGTTGCACTTGAACAGATCGTTGATCTTGGCGCGCTCCGACTCGGTCATCACCTCCCGCCAGTCTTGGAAGAAGTTGTTGTTGAACACGGTCTTGGTCGTGTAGTCATGGTCGAGCATGCGCGCGTAGAAGGTCGCGACCTCCTCCGTCTCCTCGCTCAGCTTCATCTCCTTGCCGTTGTAATAAAACTTTACGGTGGGAGGCAAGGGTTCGTAGGCAGGCGCAAATACTGGTCCCTTGTGTTCCAAAAAATGCCACTTCGTGCCGTCGCTCTTCTTCTCTTCCTCCCACCTAAAGTTCAAATTATGTTAATTATTTAATTGCGTTAAATACGTTAAATTAAACGAAACGAAGAGATAAAGAAGAGACCAGAAAAGAAACACATTTTTAACAAATCATATTAAATGATGCACAAGTCGTGTCTCGAGATGTATTAGAAAAGTGGAAATTCTCTGATTCGCACCAACGTGTGCGCACGTGCGCGCGTCACTATAGACATAACCTTAAAATATCCAGCTCTTCTTTCGTTTTACAAACTACGCAATGGTAGCTGCCGCCAAGATCGAGTAAAGGGGCGTATCTCGTTGACAAGCCGCGCACTACATTCCTAACAAGGCTCCACATCGCATCCGCCCGCCACTCGCATCTCTCATTCAACAATTGACGAGGATTCGCGCGATGCGAGACGTCGTAGGAAAATAAAAATAAAAAAAAAAGATACACTTTAAGAACTAGAGAACTCATTCGTGGAAAATAAACGCTCCTATTGGACGACGGAGGCACATGCGCCGGGTGTGATCTTACGGGAGATTCACACCCCGCGCGACGGTTCAGCTCCGATATCCAATAGGATGAGATTCACCAGGAACTTTAGATCGCGACACCTTTGCCCCTGGAAATCAAGTCCACCCATTGGACGCGGATGGAACGCAGAGCGAATCAGGAAACGCAAAGGTGGGCGAAGTAAAAGGGTCTGTTCTTTGTAGCCGAACCGGCTGCACTAGTTCAGAGTTTATCTTTTTCCCTCCGCATTAGAAGAAGAAAGATAAACTCTCAACTAGTGCAGCTAGTTCAGCTATAAAAAAAACAGACCAAAGGATTAAGGATGTCACGTGACCGCCCGCGCGGGAAATTTCGAGCGTACCACATACCATTTCCAAACATCCTGCTGCTCCTCTTGCTTCTTCTTTCTTGGACTGTCGCCTTCCGCTTTCACCTTTGTAATTTTCTTCTTTGGTTTCTATATAAAAAAAACAACGCAGTATGAAACACGTCATTCCACGATCTAAATTAACTTATGGAAAACCATAATATAGAGGAAACCTATTTTACCCTCGTTTCCTCAGGCTCGGCATCGGAATCGTCGTCGCGTTTTCGCTTCTTCTTGGTCTTCAGGTTAGTCGCCTTCTTGGATTTCTTGCGAGCCATCAGCGGAACATTCTCGTCCTCGTCCGACTCGATTTTTCTCTTCACGTTCGGCGACACCTTCGATCTCGAAGTCTGCATCAACGTTTAATTTTTTTAACTTACATAATCTTGTTCGTCTTTTCGTCCAATTTGTAGCTGAAACAACATTTACCAGTGGTTTGTCCTCTTCGGAGTCCTCCTCCGTCTTTATGGTCGTATTGTGGAGATCCGACAGTCGGGTGTCGTTTCCATCGGTCGAGTTCATACTAACGTCCTCCTTGATCGGTTCATCGTCATCGTCTTCCTTGATATAGAGCGGTCGCTCGCCACCGCTGTCGTCGTCGTCGTCCAAGTCTGGTTGCGTCATAGGTTCCTGAGGAAAGACTCGTTTCAGTATCTCGCGCCTCACTCCCCGGCGTATAACAACGTAATTGCAAACGAAACCTTACCTCCTTTATCTCAGGCTTGATATCCATATGATAATGGTACCTCTCATTAATCGAGTGATTCACCTTCACGTTCGGCTCCTCCTTCACCTTCACCTCCTCCTTATCCTTCTTCTCCTTTTCCTCGCGATGCTTAGCTGCAATTTTATTTTACTTTTAATTTTATGCATTGCAATGAACGATTACAGTAGCAAAGAGAGAACACCGAGATCGCGGTGCAAAAGGTCGGACGCCGACAGAAATGCAAAGCCCATCGGTTTGGAACGGGGCAAGAAAAAGTGACGCGACCGCGGACGATTGAGATTTAATTTAAATAATATTTGGACAGTGTCCCGCTCACATTTGTCCTTATCGTGACGGTGGCGATCCTTGTCTTTTTCATGGCGGTGCTTATCTTTGCCGCTGGACGAGCTCTCTCTGTGCTTGTCCTTATCCTTCTCCGACGAACGATGCTTCTCCTTGTCCCCCGAGGAGTGAGTAGTGGAATGTCTGTCCTTGTCCTTTTCCGACGAGTGCTTCTTCCCGTCCTTATCCTTCGAGATGCTACTACGGTCCTTGTCCTTGTCGCGCGAGCTAGAGTTCAGGGAGCTGCTGTGTCTATGTCTATCCTTGCTCTTCGAGTCCTTGTCTTTATCCTTGCCCGAACTGTCCTTGTCCTTGGAACTGCTGTGATGCCTGGCAGAAGCAAATCGTTATCGAGCATCGGTTTAATACTTTTCGCTCAATTTATAATTAACCTTTCGGCTATTCAGCATTATTCGACACTACTGGCGACAGTACTAAAATTCTCGGAGACGAAGAGGAGATTCGCGCTAATCTAATCTTTTTATGAGATACCTTTCTTCGTATTTTACCTGTCCTTGTCTTTGGAGCTCGAGCTCGATTTGTGATGATGCTCCTTGTCTCTGCTCTTGTCCTTTTCTTTGTCCTTACTGGACGAACTGCTGCTCTTGTGCTCCTTATCCTTACTAGACGACGAGCTCTTCTTATCCTTGTCCTTATCTTTACTATTGCTTCCATCGTGCTTCTCCTTGTCCTTAACAGAACTGGAGCTGTGTCTGTGCTTGTCCCTGTGCTCACTTTTATGATTCCTCTCCTTATCTCTGCTCTTGTCTTTGTGATCCGATTTGTGAGATCGCTCCCTATCCTTGTCCCTGTGCTCCGATTTGTGTTCCCTTTTCTTATCGAAACCATTAGACATGCCATTGATATGATCTAGGGAATTAAGTACAGAATTGGAGCATGTGAGAAACGTATTATGAATTTTATTTATATACGGAGGGAAAAATCATTCTGCGTAAAGATGTGATATGCACAAATATAAGCGAAACAACGAGGGGGAAACCGCTGACCAAAATCTCGTACACCAATGCCCACTAATGCCCGGCGGGCATTACTTTATCTTATCATCTTATTTTACCCGATTTATCTTGTTTTATCTTATTTTACCTTATTTTATCTTTACAATGCCCCAGCAAGGCTTAACGCCTAACAAATGCCCAGTAATGCCGCAAATAAAAGAACCAACGATCGGAAACTCGTCGCTCTTTTAAAGCCCCCCCCTCGCGCGCTCATTTTGTGTTCAGCCGAGTTTTAGCATTTGCACACTGGCCTGGCCACCTGGGGCGAGCGCGCGTTCTCGGGAAAAAATGCCGGGTCGCCGGAAAGGCCGACTCGGAATCCTAGCACCTCGCGGGGAAACCCGCGTCCAGTTCCGGAAGGGATAACGGCGACCGATCCGCGCGGGGATCCCGACTTCCGGCGCTTCCACCCCGGACAGGACTAGACACGTGTTCGAATTCCCCCCCTTCCCCGCGGGTCGACGCGGGTCCAGCGGGCGATTTTCATTCAACCACGTTCCCGCGATCGGCGAATGCTCGCGCGCGCGAGCCGAATGAGAGAGTGAGAGAGAGAGAGAGAGAGGAGGGGGGAGAGAGAAAGAGAGAGAGAGTGTGAGAGAGAAAGAGAGAGAGAGAACTCACCGCTGTGATTCCCGGAGACGCCGCCGCCGCCGCCGTCGCCGCCGCCGCTCTCCTTGGTCTTCCTCTCCTGAAACAGACGAGCATCGGGTTGAGCGCCAACGAAGACGGAGGAGGAGACGGGGACACGGCCGCGGGTGCGGCCGCCGACGGAGTTCTAAGGGCCCGGGGGGGCCAGCGCTCTCTCGCGCGCCCCGGGTTCGCCCGTTCGCCACGGCAGAACTTAGCCGCAGACGCCATTTTGTGGGACTTAGAAAATTTTCGCGTCGCGGCACGATCGGCGCGGCGGCCAAGAGGCGAGAGCGCCCGCACGGCCGCGTCTCGCGTGGACGCGCGCCTACGCGGCCGCGGCGCCGCCCGCGGACGCGATACGTGGACACTTACCGGGTCCGCGTTCACCTGCGTCGCCGCCTGCTCGAGCTCCATTTCCCCCGTTACACACACGGAACCTGTACGGCGCGGCCTGAGCGAGGAACTGAAGCAACTGCGGCGCGAGCTTCAGCTGCGCCGCCGACAGAGTGAGGCGAGCCGCCGAGCCGAGCCGAGCGGATGGCTGGGCACGTATGCACGCACACGCACACACGGCCCCGACGAGTGCGCGCCTTCGTTCGCGTCTGCACTCTGCACGCCGTCTCGTCGTAGCAGGTTTGTGGACCGCGTGAGAAAGACGGGGACAGGCCGAGGACCGAGAGCCGGAGAGAGAGGGAGATGGGGAAGAGAAGGAAAATGAGAAAGAAAGACGGCAACTTCCACCGGCCGTCGGGCGACCGCACCGTCCAACGTCCGGCGAACGACTGCCTGCGCGCGTCGCGACGCCAGTCTAAGTGCCGCAAACGCCGCACCGCGCACGCGCACGCTCGCCCCGCCCCCTCCGGCCAGACGCGATCGTGGCGGGCCGATCCGATCCGAGGGAGTCATTCACCGCGAGGTCGATCGGAACCGGTACGGTCCCGCGGGCGAGTTCAATACTCGATGCGCGAGGACGATTTTATTTCGCCGCCACGAGAGGATCCGCGCACGGGACGATTGTCCAAAGCGAGGGGGCGAAGACGCGTATTGTATCGATCCCGATCGCGTTGATAGATTCATTCCTCGACAGATTCTCTCCCTTTCTTTTTCCTTCGTTTTTCTTCACGGCGGGAAAGCTCTTCCTCTCGCGACGATCGGGGGAAAAATAGCTCCTCCAGGAACAGGAATTTCACTTGCGAAGAGGGTTAATCCCCCAAGGGATTTCCGGAGTAGATTGCGATATCGTTGGAAATAAACGGAAGTGTTGGGTCTTGATCGATGGCGAAGGCTCATGGGGAGTGCAGGGAACGCGGCAATTTTGAAAATACTCGGTACTCGCGCGGTCTCGTTGCCGATTTGGAGAGTAAGCTGTCGCGAGCCCAGCTATTTCGTTTGATTCAACTTTACGTCGGATCGACTCCGTGAAGTTGTACTCGATTGTACGCTCGGCTGCTATGAATTGTAACTTTTACAACAAATTAATAAAATTCGTGTCGCCCAAACGTGATAAACGCAAATTTGAAGGAATATGTTCAAACCCTGGCTGTGATGCTTTTTCGCAATAAATTTTGAATAAAATATTTAGACACTAACATCCTGTCACGGCTCTTTGTAATTTACAAATAACTTTCGAAGGGCGAAGGGAAATCGCGTTGACTTTTTTTTATGTAATATGCGAATCTAAAGAGTGGTTGTCGCAGCGCATTTCGGACAATTGCGAATTAAACGAATGCCGTTTTTAAATAATGTCGTCTTGAATGTGATAATTTATAGCAATAATTGTACATAATTTTACTAAACCTATATGTAAATATATATATATATATAATTGTAGCAATAATTACATCTAATTTTACTCATCCTACCTAAACATATACAATTATAATATTATAATTATATAAATTTTATAATCAATATAATTATAACATTACAATTATATTAATTAAATATAATATTCTAAGTTTTAATTATACACACCGTTATATGTAATTAAGAATTATATATACTTGATATTATATAATTTAAATCATATATATAATTCTTAATTAGGAATATGACACATTTTCCTTATTGCGAGTTGATTATTTAAACCTCCAGTTGTCGCACGGGATATTTAAAAGTAATATATTATTTCCGAAATAACACATTTTCTTATCTCTACCGGATTAGATTCTGAACTCCACGTGAAAACTTTATTGAATAAATAGAAAAATCAAGCTCTCGATGTAAAAGTTATATAAATTAACCTTTTCAAGTCTCATGATCCCATGTATCGTGTTAACAAAAAAAAGTAGCACGACGACTGAAGGGTTAAAGACGACTCACTCAGGAAATTAACATTACAACAGGATATTATATTTCCTGAGATGTAAATCATTCGTGCAATACCAAAAATGTTCCTGTTAAAAAGTAAAATAAAAAAAAATTGTCATTTTCCAATAAGTAAACTTTTAGTACTTTTTTTTGGTGATATTTTTACATGATTGTCTCTAAAACGCAGCGATGGCTCTATTAGTATCACACGGATAATTCTATCGTAAGCTAGATACAGTACAAATAAAATCATCTGTACAATGTAAAATCAGTAGTGTCAATAAAAAATCGCCCCTTGCTTCAGCTTTCGCAGTTTTCCTTTATCTTACGAAACTTTATAACTTAACGTACTCCGGTTTTCCCTCGCTGTTCCAGATGGTCTTCATTTTCCGAAACGAAAACACCGCGTACAGTGCTGTAAAAAGATTCATTGGGGAAATTGGACTCGTTCGGGAATTTTTATTTCATTTTTCACTAATCGATCTCCCTTATCTTTGGACTTCCTACTCACAAGTAACCTCCCATTCTGCCTGCGAGAGAGTACCGATCTTACGGTGATTCGCGGGTAGATTCTGCATATACTCAACGGCATGCTGATAGTCCCGCTCGGAGTCGCCAAGTAGAGGTGACTCGTGATACGGTGGATAAGTCTCTAGTGCCTGCATATTTCCTAGAAGAGATCTACCCTCGTCTTTGAAACGCTCGAAGAAATCTTCGAATCTGAATAAAAAGAGATTGGCTCTTTTCAGGCAATGACTTATATTGGAGAAATAATACGTTTTAAAAACTAATATCTACTTACATTTAAATGTACACACACTTATATATATAGCTTTTACAAGCTATTTGTCAATAACATGAACGATAACAAATTCAAATCGTCGTGCTTTTTCTCTTACCTTTCGAACGACACAAATTCGAGGCCGTACTTTAGAGCCAACTTGCACAGAGTCGGCAGATACACCAGGAATTCCGGACAGTCGACCACGCCGTCCAGGTGAAAATTGTACTTTGCGCCAAAGAGCGGCGGCTTTGTTTTATCCTCGCATAAAAATTCAACGTTGTACACATTGTTGCCGAATTTATTACCGTCGCAATTTTGCCACCTGGAACTGCATTGCCAAAGAGAAGCATGAGCATGCGAACACGTGGTCCATCAGGGAGGAATATGAAAGCGGAACAGGAAGGGAAACGTACACTAAATCATACGCGTCTGGAATGCTTCCGATGAAGTAGCCGCCCGGCTTGAGGCTCTCGCTAGCGTTCCGAAGCATGCACTCCGCCTGCGACAGGGACTCGAAGCTGTAATGGAAAGCGAACTGGCAGCTAACAAAGTCCAGCTGCATACTGGGATCCTCGAACTTCTCCCTCAAACGAACCTGTAACATTCCTGATTAACAAAATTGACAAGAGCATTGTTTGCTAGATGGAGTTTATGTAAAGGCCTGTGTCTACGATCCTAGAACTTGGTCCAAGTTCTAGTTTCGAGAAATGTGTAGCCAATCAACTTGCAGCTCTTCCATAAAAGCTGCAAATTGTTTGGCTACACATTTCTTGGAAGAGACAAACATGAATTAAACTGAGATTAAGGTTAAGCGACGTTTGGTGAAACCGGGCCTAAAATCTGTGTCCACGATGTTAGAACTTGGTCCAAGTTCCACCAAACGTCGCTTAACCTTAATCTCAGTTTAATTCATGTTTGTCTCTTTCTAGAGTAACAGGT